CTTGGGTTGCTGAGCACCTCTCAGGCCCTCCTTGAGTTTTGTGTGATAAGGTCAAGTGAGAACCTTCATCAGCCACGTTCGGCTATTCAGCAAGGATTAGTTTAAAACAATGGAACACAAATCTCATATGGGTAAGATGGGACCTGAGGATAGAAAAGGAGGTGATGGATGACCAGTTAAAAGATGGAGATGGAGGTCCAGTGGCTTTGGGGTTCCAAATGTGAGGAAGAATTGTCACATTAGACTAAAGGAAGGAGCTAGAAATATAGTTGGAGGTGGAGGTCCAAGAATGGGATGTTTGACATGGGAGTTCTGGAAGTGATGCTGTTCCTGCTATGACAAGGTCCAGGGTGTGACAAGGGTAGCAGGTGGCCTTGGGACCTTAGAGCTTGGGACACCAGCTCTGAGCAGAAGGGTCCAGGTTCGGATCCCACATGAGGGCCAGTGACGCTGCGCCCTCTACAGCTAAGATGGTGAACAGCTCGACCTGGACAGCCATGAGTTGCTGGTGATGGCGTAGGCTGCAGTGGGGCTGGCCGGCAGTGGGTGTGAGCTTTCATGGGCTGCTGTGAACCGTCGTGAGCAGCCGTCCAATGACCGGTGAGCAACTGCCTCACCCCGGGAAGAGCGCAATGATAATACCTACATGGGCCAGTGAAGCAACGTCCTCCATAACTAGATTGAAGAACAAAACGACAGCAACTTGTCTGTTCCCCTTCCCCAATTCCCCAACGCTGTTCCCTCCCCCAGTTCCCCAATAAAATCTTTAAAAAAAAAAAAAAGAAATTCTGCCTCTGCCATTCCCTACAATGAGAACTTACACAGTCGCCTAAGCTCTCTGAGCCTCAGTTTCCTAATCTCTAACACTTGGCAGTAACAGCACCCATCTCGTAGATTCTATTTTTTGTGAAGATTAGGTGGATGGCAAGGTTCTCATTGACGGGTGGTGCATCACTGACAATCAATCAATACATAGTAAATGACGACAGTAATCAACATCAACAATATCACCGAGCTCTTAAGCTCATAAAAAAAAATAGCACAAGAATAATTTCGAAGGGAACCACAGCTATTACAGGGATCAGAAAAATACTCACATCTACACCATCAGTTTAATACTCTTTCCCGCTGGACTGCCCAATCCTGATCCAACAGTTGGCTTGGCAGGCATGAATGATAGTTCATTTGTTCATTCTGTTTATTTATTCAACCGATGAAGACATGGTGGTAGGTTTTGGAATTTCAAAGGCGAACAGGACAGACGAACTTTTTGTTCTCCTGGAGTTTCTCCAGGAGGGTAGACAGACTGTGAACAAGTGACCAAAAAAATTTAGCTAGCACTAAGTGCCTTGTAGACATTCAAATGGGTTGATGTGATAGAGTGAAGAGGGTGGCCATTTCCACAGGCAGGGAAGTCGTCCTGGGGAAGGTGACAGTTGAGGTGTGTTCTGACACTTGAAGAAGCCAGCCATGTGGAGACATGGGGGAAGCCCCAGGCCAAGGCCACAGGCAGGCGCTGCCACAGGCAGGCGCTGACTCTCTCCAGGGTGGTTGTTGCTCTGCAAACACCAGAGGGAATGTCATTCTTAGATAAGATCAGGAAGGAAGGCAGGGTCCAGCTCAACTGCAGATGAATGGGCCTGAGTGAGAAGTTTCATTTTATTTAAGTAAAATGGGAAGCCAGGGGCGGGGTCTTTAAAGTTAGTTAGATGATGCAAATATTTAAAGTTATCAGGCCAGTGGTGGGCTGAGGGACTCATGCAAGGCTGGGAAGAGATGGACAGAAACAAGGTTATGCTGTGACATTACAGGGTGTAGGAGGCTCTGCAGACCATGGGTGAGGGCCCAATGTAGAGAGCGGGCAGTGGGTTCCAACAAGCTGGCTGGTTTTTATAGCACAGTGCAGATACTAAAACGATGTGGGAGAGCTCACGGCAGCTCTAGGGGTGTTAGAGAATGGGGCTTAGAAAACAAGCAGCAACTGGGACCACAGCCAAAACGATGCCACAAAACTAGTCTGGGAAGGTGTTAGCTGTTGAGGCTGTGAAACACTGGATGTCATAACCCATTGTGCCACCTGCACTGGGCCTTGGGTACTGCCAATACTGCTGCCCACGGTCAGAATGGAAGGCAGGGTGAGTGTCTGACTGATGGAGGTTAGTTAGGTAACCCACCTCACCCCAGCTATAAGTAAGTTGGAGGAGCCAGGACTCAGCATATTCAAGGTCTCTGATGGAGAATGAATACTGCTTCCATGAAGGTGGGGAGTTTCTCAACCAGTGGAAGAGGCATCAGACCAAATTCAAGACTTGCTTCAGGTTGTAGCAACTCCTTGACATCATGACCAGCCAGGAAACTGCAATCGTTTTAGAGAAAAATGAAGAGGGCCTGGGCTCCATCAGTGGCAGTAGGAATGGCGAAGAGGATACAGATTTTAGTGAGGGTCCAACGGTAGAATGAACAGAGGTTGATGACTAATTACAAGCAGAGATGAAGGAGTGTCTAAAATGCCTTGTGAATGTCTGTGGCTTCAGGATTGGGTGAATGACAATGCCATTAACCAGGCTAGGTCATCCAGGAGGAGGGGTATGTTTTGGGGAAATGATCATAGATCAGTCATTTTTGACATGCTGAGTTTGAAGTGTCTGACACACACTGCTGGAGATAGACAATAGGCACATGTTAGTGCCATTTTCCTGAAGATGGTAGCTATGCAGTGGTGTGCTGGTCAATGACTGACAACAGGCTCTCCGGGAAAAGACGCTCTGATTGGTAGCATTTCTCAATTTCTGTGGTGTAGATACAATTTCAAGCTACCAGCATAAGGTTACTGAAAGTGGATCTGGGAAGACAATCAGCTGTCAAGAGCCCAATAGAAGGTCCAGCACAGTTTGTGACTACTGATGGGGTGGGAGGGGAGGGGGATGAGGTCTCCCAGAACAGAGCAGAACTGAGACCAGACTTGTCAGGGGCAGATTGAAGAGGAGCTCCTACAGGGCACAGGGGTTGTCAGAAGGAAAACCAAGAGAATGGGCACTTCAGGATCAAGCTCATATCTGGACCCTGTCAAGCTCTCCAGAACTGGCTTCCATCATGAACTTATCTCTTAGCAATCACCTACTAGACTATGAGCGAGTTGAGGTCAGAGATGGTCAAACTCAGCCATGTTCCTCTAGGTACAGCACACAGTAGACACTGGGCAAATAATTCCATTAATATCTCAGGGAAGATTTACATCCACCAGTTTCACGAGGCAACACAAGAATAAATGGACATGTTACAAGGAGACATTTGGCTCAATGTAAGAAAAATCTTCCCAGCAAGTCTTTAGACATCTCTTGTTCTGTCCCACACTACTCCTGTTCTTCTGGGAACTGTCACCCTACATTCCAACTATGAGGTTCTCAAGGCAGTCCCTCTTTTCTATGTGCAACTACCAACTGGTCGAGTTATGGCACTTGACCCAGCGGGGACTTTTGGAATCAGAACTTGGGAGTCTCTCTCGCAAGGCAGAAGCTGTGGGAGAAGAGGTGGCAGCATCCAGTGTTCACCTGCTGTATCCTGTTAGACTCTGGGAAAGAGCGGCAGTGAGAATCCCAGCAGCGATTTCCTTAGGTCCAGCTGTTTCCCCAGCCCTTTCTTCTGTTCCATTGCATAGCCCCACATCCCTCCGCTAAAGTCCCCTTTACCTACGCAGCAGCTGCGTTTTTGTACTCAGCAACCAAGGGTCCTGATGATACCCAAGCAGAACTCTCCAAGTACATAAGGTCATCTGTGTGAAAAGTAATGTGGTTTTCGTTACTGGAAGTATTCATGCAGTTTAAATAACCACTGGAAAGGGCTTTAAAAGAGGGGGTTTCTGCCATGGGTGAGAGCCCTGAGGAACAGTACCTCCATGTGAGTGCTTGCCACAGACGAGGCAGTGTGTGGTAAGCTAAGTGGGAGGCTGGGTTTTAGGCAGGTTTATTAGGACTTCGATGTTCTTAATTTCTAAGCTAGATGTTCTCAAACCTTTTAGTCTCAGGATCCTTTAACGATCTTAAAAATCGAAAACCTTAAGTTTTTGTGTGGGTTGTAACTGTAGATATTTACCATAATAGAAATCAAAACTGCGACATTTAAAAGATTTAAAAAGAACAAAACCCCATCACACGTTAACATAAATATTTTTATTAAAAGTAACTATTTTTCAAAACAACAAAAAAAATAGATGAGTGACACTGTTTTACATTTTTGCAAATCTTTTATATCTGACTGAATAGAAGACAATGGGATGCTTACATCTGCTTCTCTGTTCAATACGTTGCTTTGATTGAAGTATAAGAAAAGCTGGCTTTAGAGAGACATGCAGTTGGAAAAGGAACTTCATGAAGCTCCTGAAGGGTTTCAGGTTCCCCCAGGAGCCCCCAGACCACACTCTGAGAACTGCTGCAGTAAACTACGCTGCTTCTCAGTTAAAGACTCTATACGGAATTAATACTACACCTGACAATTCCTTCCATGGCTAACTCATTTTAAACAAATTTCAAAATGGGGTGGTGGTAAAGGAAACTTGAATTCTCATTAATTCAATTTGAAGTGACACCAACTGTCAACTTTGGTTCAAAAATTATTCTTTTGCTATCTAAGATTACATATGAGATTTTTTTTTCAAGTTCACTTTTCTAAACTAAGAAGAGAAAGTGACATGTCATACACTAAGTTAGCATTTGTACAGTGGTTTTACAGTTTACAAAGCCTCTTTCTGTGCCCACATGATGCCACTGAGTCCTTAGAAGCCACTTTACAGAGGAGGAAAGTTCGGTGCAGAGGCGACTTGCCCAAGATTGCCACCAGTAACCTGTGGACAGGCTTCCTTGTGACCACGCCACGTGCTCACAGGACAGCTCTGGTCAGCTCTAAGCACACACATCTCCCTTTTACAAGCTGGCTTTCTAACCTAGGAAGAGGGGACCCTTTATTTATGTTCACTTTTTTCACATACATGAGAGACAGCATCTGTTCTCGAATCCAACTAGATTTTATTTGACAAAGAATACAATATGACTGCAGGAATAGCAAACTGAAAAGACAAGGCAGAAAGGACATGGTTCTATCTAATTTATAATTAAGTAACAGGATGGCAAGTTATTAAGTGAATAATAAAACAGTTGAGCTTGATGGAAGATTTTTTTCTAGTGCCCATACCTGAAAGACAAAGTAAATGATTTTATTAATTTCTTGATAATTTCCTGTTTTGAGACTATAAAACCTGTTTAAAACATATGAGCAAATTTGACTGAAACTTTAAAAAGATGTAAATGACCACAAGTGTGTTCTAAGCTTGGGTTCTGACACTGGTCTCTGCCCCTTTCATCTTGTCATCCTCTGTAACAGCTTACCTACTACCCCCTTCTTAGTGACTGTCACTCTCTGGGACTCAACTGTACCCACCTCCATTTACCAGACAGATCCTGGGCATTATCAGGGAGGTAAGAGGGAAAAGTCAGAGCTGGTGGCTGTGGAAGCAAACTCCACCTGTTGGCTCCAGCCAGCAGCTCAGACAGTTTGAGCTCTCGGCCTCCCCTCCCTATGACAGCCTTTTTCACCTCAACTCAGGCAAGTTTGGGGAGTATGGCAAATACAGAGAATCGTAACTGAACAGGCTTCAATTTCAAAAATCTATCACCAGCTCCAATTACAGTCCTGATTACACTAAGTAGTAGAGAAAGAGAACTGTAGAAAAACTAGGTATGGATTTCAAGTGGTTTCTGATTTCCTGAGAAGCCAAAATTTGGCTATAACAAGATTATAAAAATAAACAAGGTCAGGAAATTTCTTCCACATATAAATGGGTTTCTTGAACACAAAATACTTCATTATTTTCTTACTTACTATTTTGCCCTGGTTCTTTTTTGGGCAGTTAGCCTCTGATTAAAATACTCTGTTGCATGGATGGAAACCAGGGTACTAGAACTCCAGGTCACTGCTTCAGTCATCCCGAAGGGACTACCAGGTCCTTTGAGCACTTTTTGTAAGAAATCCACTTGAATATTGTCTAAACAAAGTTGTGCCAAATTCCACACAGGGTGGAGCTCCAGTGTTTGTTAGTAGGCTGGAGAACAACCCAGAAGTTGTCTATCAGATTAAAGAATACAGTGATTTGTTCCTTATGAATTCGTTTTCCGGATGCACTGAAAACCACTGCCTGGCAAAGTCACCGATTGGGTACAGTGGCAGTGTCAAAGCCCAAAAGGAGGAATTCCTCATGCCTCCACTTCTTAGGCTCAGCCCTGGGCACATGGAATGGGCAACACAGGACAATTCTGGTCTAAAATGGAACCCTGAGCCTGCTCAGAAGAAATCACAAAGGCCTCTCGAGAACTCAGAAAAGTGCTTCTGCCTTGACATGTATTACTGTTACAGTTCCACTCAGAATGCAAGCTCCCCAAGGACAGCACGGACTGTCTCACACATTTTTATATCTTACACATTACTTAGCATACACTTTGCTGAATGGAGAGCAATGGTATGAGTTAGATACTGAGTATTTGGCAGGTTTCATAAAAACAAACATGCATTTGATATGACTTCCAAAACTATTTACCTAAGTAAATCACCAAGTTTAAAAGCAAAATAACTGTACCAATAAGGTATTTCTAAAAACTTAACAAACTAAAGAATCCTAGTTTTTGTTCTTATAACTATAAACTATTAATCAAAACTCATATTTAAATAAAAATACCCTCTCCATATAAAATTTGATAAATGACCAATAATTCAACAGAAAAAAGGTATTTCACAAAAGAATCTGAGGCATGAAAGCATATGAAAATTAGCCCAACCTCACTCAAAATTCAAAAAATGTAACTGAGTATTAATTTTCAACTATCAGAATAGCTAAGATGGACAAGCTTGATTATCGAGCCTTGACAGGAAATGGAGAAAGGGGCTTTCTGTTGCACTGTTCAGAGGGAGTGTAAATTAGTACATATTCTTTGGAAAGGAAAATCTGACACTATCATAAATAAAAATGTACATACTCCTTACCCAGAAATTCCTCTTTTAAGAATTACTGCTTCAGATATACACTACACGGACATGTACACAAAGACTCATGAATAAGGATGTTCATCCCCACACATTTTTTTAAAATAAGAATTTTAATTAGAACAAAATGAAACAATTCTGTAAACAAAAATGTGATTCAAATTAATTGGCAGCACCGAGCCAGTTTTGATGGTAGATAACTGGCTTATCTTGTGATGGCAATTTTACTATAGAGATTGGGGGAAAGAGTTTTAAACCTGCTTCCAGTCTATTTGTAATATTAACTAATCTTTAAAGAGAGGCATTACTTATGTTAAAAAAAATTTCAGCTACTTCAGTGGCAATTATTCTGAACTATATTTTAATTTAGTTAACCAATGCTATTATGAACTAATGTTCACATAAATTGAATTAGTTACAACTATATTTCATTTTGCATTTAATATTTTGCAAATACATACATATATACATATTTTTTATGGCTAGCATTACTCTGCCTCAACTTTTCTATGAGTAGGTAGATTTGTTTACCAAAAGTATCTTCCTACACATTGTTTTTTAACAGTGAAATGTCTATCAACAAGGACTGATTAAATTATGGTGCTTCTATATAAAAACATACTCTGCAGCCATTAGAAGGGAGGTAGCTTATCATGTGAGGATTTGGAAAATCTCCAAAGTATATGAAATGAAACAGCAAGGTAAGTAACATATGCTACATTTTTGTTAAAACAAAAATTCTATGCGTCTACCCACCCACAGACATACAAGTACACATATGGAGACAGGCAGGAAAGCCAAGAAGCTCTTGCTGATGGTTACCTCCAGGAGTGAGATGAGACTAAGGTAGGAGACTCATTTTTGTGGTATACCCTTTTGACCATTTGAATTTTAAAAATTTTACCATGTCATGTTTTATTTACATAATAATAACTTAGTCGAGATAAATAAATGCTGTATAATAAATGCTGTATTAATCAGCATGAGACAAACCAAAGAAACAAGACAGTTTGATATGATTCTGCCCAAAGCAAAGATACCTGACATTAGTTAGCTCCTGGAGCCTTATGAGGGATGTGATTTTGGAAATATTTAATAGTTACCAAAAGCTAATTTATAAAATAAGGCATGTCTTATGGCTCCATGTTTTTTTTTTTTTTTTTAGCTGAGCCATCCTGCTACCTGTTGGCAGCTTAGCGGCTGCTCAGCTCGGGCTAGACTCGAACCGCTGTTGCTCAGAGCTCAAACTCTTGAGCGAGCTCTTAACCAACTGAGCCACTCAGCCGGCCCGGCTCCATCTTTTAAGACTATGCACCCTTCAGCCTGAGGTGGGTCAAAGAACCACAAAGACCACAAAGCCCAGTCTTACAACATCAAAACAGCCAGACACCTACTTTTGGAATTCCCACTCTCTGTTGTCCAGCGGACACACCTGCCGTGTTTTGAGCCAGCGAGAGATGCAGTGGAAGTGAAAAGCATGCTGGAAGAAAAGATACATTTTATTAAAAATAACTCTGTGTAGGCTCCCTGACACCACCTCTCCAAAGCAGGGGAGTGGTTACACACGGGTGCTGGGGAAGAACAATGGCAGCCAACAAACAACGAGAGGCAAAAGGCCCCAACCCATACGCCCCGGCTGGGTGCAAGGATATTGTCAATGAAACATTTGCTAGAGATGTTATTACAACTAAAGGAGGAAATTAGGAAGAACAGTGTATGCTCTAGCTGTGAGCTCTCTCCCTTTCTCTTAAGGAAGAATGGAATGTGGCCCCCTGGTCCTATTCGGCCTGCAAAGGGATTCTTCTACATTCCTTGGACAGATGCAAGGAGGCACTTGATCACACAAGTTTCAAACTTCCTATTCTTGGTCTCCAGATGCACCCGCTTTAAAGAATGGGAACCCCAGGAGAAGAGCCTTCTCAGTCCTTAGTAGTGCACTGCCACTGCCACCCACCCAGAGCTGAGATGGGCACTTCCCCAACCTTCCCACCCCCGGTTCAACTCTGTTCAAAGGAATTTATTTCCAGATTTGTTCACTGATGCTCAATATTCAATAAGTCTTTAAGGGGTGAAGGACTTTGTCTTAAAAAGGAATGAGATTTAAAAATTAGGGTAAAAGGAAGTATTACGATGAGCAAATTGCACACAAGCAGCTGAAAGAGCATCAAAGGGCTTATTTCATGATCAAGACAGGAAGTATAAAAAAAAGGCAAGAGGACCAAGCATACTGGTGACTGACAGGGACTTGGGAGTTGGCTTTCCGATCTGGGGAAAAGGAAAAGCTGTGTGCCATTTTTCTGGCGTGCATTAATAGCATGCAGACGCTAATGACAGCACCTCTGCAATTGACATTTATTCTCCTCCCCCTGCTCAGTGGGTGCAGTATTAAGACAGAAGTGGCAAGTGTCCTCCTTATCTAATCTGTGATGGGTCAGCTGAGGTGGGGACAGACAGGAAATGCTGACACCCCAACAAAAAACAATAAAAACTTTTGCAGGCTTTGTTTAATAACAGCCTAGAAATCTGGTCAGTTATGTCTTCCCAAACATGCATGGAACTAAAGAAGAACTATAGCATGGATGATTATCTTGTGAGCTATCTTTTGACAAAGACAAAAATAGAATTCAGTAATTAAGAGTGGAATCCACAGCTAGTCCTCTACGAATACTCAACAGGACAAACCCTCCTGGAGTGACAGCTTTTGGAAGATCCCTTTTCTGTTGACTCTCATATAACTCGCTAGGAAAAAGGAAAAAAAACCATGACATTTCTAAAAGGCAGGAAGTGGAGGCATTTTTCTCTGTCACGGGGACAAGGCTCACCTAAGCGTATCCAACACATCCTTCTCCACCTCCCACCTCCCCCAGTAGCACTTTGAAGAAGTACAGGGTCCTTGTACACCCCAACTGTCTGAGAAGATAAGACACAGACAGGCTGCAGGACAGGTGACAGCATCCCTGAATGTTCCCAACCCCAACTTTCTTCCTGTTAATAATCTAAGATATATTCTGGGTATGTTTAGCAGTCTCAAAGTACCCTAGCCAGTGCTTTACAGTTTACAGAAGGTGTTACATACATTCTGTCATTTGAGCATTACAGCAACCCTGGCAAGCAAGCGTGACAGGTATGCTCATCTTCAGTTTACAGAGAAGTGACCTGTCTAATTCACGGAGCTGGTTAGCAGACCCACAACTAGCACCCAGGACCAGTCTAAAGACTCTGCCGCACTATGCCAGCTCCTCTTTAAGCCAGGCTCTATGAAGAAGCCTCTCCTTAGCCAAAATTAGGGGAAGCTCACTCCCTTTCCTTCCACCAGAGAAACATGGTTTTTAGAACCTGCCTGAATGCCAGGGAGAGAAAAGAGCCTGACATTTTTTATTTCTTTATCCCCAAGAACAACAAAGGCCGTCCCTTAGCTAATACAGGCTTCTGTGAAACAGCCCAAAGGGCCCTGACAGAAGAAGGTCATCACAGATGTGGGTGGGCCTCAAGTACTGACAGTCCTATCTCTTTAGTAAACCCCCCACCCCCGGGCAAAATTTGTATTTCTATTTATTTAGCAAACACTTATGCTTACTATAGGCCAAGAAGTGTCTAAGCACTTTCAGCATAAAATCATTTCATTCTGATTAAGCTGTTGGCCCTATTTTACATGAGGGAACCCAGGCTGAGAGGTGTCCAACGCCTGTCCAAAGTCACTTAGTAAGTTGCACAGACAGGGAATGGTGGTCTGACTCGGGGTCTCCTAGGCCTGTGCCAAGCAGGGGCTGTGGGTCCTCTGTTCCCTTGGCATAGGAGATCCAGACGGGACAATTTTAGCTCATCTGACTGGGACTATAGGGCTATAAGGGTGAATTTTAAACACATGCTAGAAATAACATATTTTATGTTTGTTATTCTTCACAGCTGTCACACCCTGGAAGGCCGTACATTCAGTCCAACGATGCTGCCCCAAACATTTCTGGCGTGAGCCATGTCAAAAACCCTCCAAAAAATCCTTAGTGCATTTGCCACACTTAAAATGTGCATGTGCGCATACACATGCATACACACACACACTTGAACACTCAATTGATTCAACAAACTTAGTTCCGTAAGACACCTAGCCTTAAAAAAATAATCTGTTAAGAAGGTAAAGATTTCCACCAACAGGAGAATATTCCAAAAACTGTGCCATAGGCTTCAAAAGCAATTCCGAGAGATAAATCCCCAAAATGTTGCTAACAAAAGCAGGCAGGCCCACTCTATAATTAAGACAAACTAGTGCCTCTGCAACAACTATTAATTTTTACCCAGTAACAGGTAAATAGTACAAAGACTTAAAATCTTTTTTACCATTTGTATACCTTTTGGGAGAAAGGTGGGCTAGTCAATTTTTTTCCCCTAGTTATTTTCAAGACTGGCAAAGCAGGAAAAGCGGCAATGTTTACAAGCCATGCTGATAGGGAAAGATGTTTCCTTACGTTACAAACTCCCCACGCAACGGTGCACTCTTCAGAAGTGGCAGACGCCTGGTTAGCTTGACATTCTATGCCTGTGGGAACAAGCGCAACAAGGTCACTGGAGCCCAGGAGCATGACCTGTCAATCTCTAGCAGGCCTACCTGCTTGGGATAGGGGCAAGTTTCCAGTGGTTCATTAGTCGTAATTGTTTTTTAATGAATGTGAAAAAGGGCGAAGAATAGAGAAGGCAGTGATGTGACTTAACAGTGTGCTATGTAATGATTTCCTAACTTTGTTCAAAAACAGTAATGAAGGAAAAGGCACTTTTCAATTCTGAACATAATCTGACTTGTCCAAATGAAAGTGATTCCTCCTCATTTGGTGAATTTCCAAGTTCTGAAAGCCACCTCTTAACTCTCACTATTCTGAGAAGTGGCATCTTTCCCCTATTCTTGCCAAATGCTTCCTCGTAGGCCCTCAGAACACCTAGGCTTGCCCACGTGAAGCTCCAAAGCCTAAAGGGGTCAGGGAGACACATGTGAACTGGGACAGAAGCAAGATCAAAGTGGGTGAAGAGACCTGTGGCAAACTGTACAGTATGCTCTGCATGAAGACATCAAAACTCAAGTCTAAACACTGTAAACAAAGCAAATGCTAGGCCAGTGGGTTAGAGATTTGGGGCTCACCACTTAGTGATGCTTATGGCCCCTGCAAAGATTGTGCCGGACCAACAGAACAAACTATTGAAAATGTATGCAATGTCAATTTCATAGAGGGGGAAGGGAGGGAAACTTAAATAGAATGAAAAACTGACTGAGATTGAGAACTGACAAGTAAAGCTCTACTGAGGATAAATACTCAAGCAACAAGTATTACTTGTGTATAATTTGTTTTTTCTGAAGGTGGTAACTCAATGGAGTTTTCCTTCTGAAGAAGAAAAAGCTTCGGGAAAGACTATTTAATAGGAGACAATTACTTCAAATTTCCATAGGTGGAAAATAATAAAATTGTAAGAAAATAATGCTGAGATGTTAATGGGTATGTCTGTCTTAGGGTAAGAGGTATATCACAATAAAAGTTTTTATCCTCACCCTCTGAAAATATGAAAGGCAAAGGATCTGAAATCCCAGAACTTGCTTTTGCTACCCACATTCATACTACGAAGAGAATAAGTGGGTTTTCCTTTGGTAAGAGTGGAGAATCTAAGGTCTATGCAGTATATTCATGAATTTATTGGGGCTGTGAGCACACTACTATAGTCAAAGGGATGGCAGAGAAAATAAAATTTCAAGTTGGATCTTCTCCCTTATGTGAGGACTATGTATTACGAAATTAGCTAAATAAGAGGCACAATTATTATTTAAGTAAATAACAACAAAAAAACCCCCACTTCTATAAACAGAGAAAATGGGGGCCAAACACGTATTTATTCATTACCAGAAAAGCCCTAACAAAGAACAAAAATATATAGGAGGGATAGGATTGTGATCTAGAATACCAGATAAAATGGCATGAAAAATTACTATAGACGAGTGTAAAATGGTCTCAAGCATAAAATGTTTTCGTGCTTTTGGTGCAGTTAGTCATTAGTTTAAACAGGGAAACATGTGAGCCTACAGCAGACAGGCCAGCAGCACTAACAGGTTCCTGCCATACCCCTGCAAAGGCAGCTTATTTCATATGATACATAAATCTTGGGGACACCTCAATACAAGAGCATTACCACCAAAGGACTGCCAAGGAAGCAATGGCTTCATCTCAGAAGTAGACAGGTTTCATGATTTCAAAGCATGGGTGGACCTGTGGTTTTAGGAAGAGGCTAACTTCTTATGGACAAAGGCTGGGTCTAAGCCCTTCTGAGTGTCCTCTTCATCTGGAACAAGATGACCTGAGGTCATGGAGAAGATAACACCTAGCAGTGTGTGTATTTCAGCAACTCTGTAACACACCAAAAATGGGGCAATATGAAATAAATATGAAGCTGTAGTAGGGTATGTAATATGAATTAGGACTCAAAAAAGGAAAACCAAGAATGCTTTGTAGGAGTCCACGTGGGACACAGCCACAATCACTCTTATTTATCTACAGTTGTGTATATAATTATTCATTTAATGCCAACCAGAATCTATTAAAAAATGGCCATTGCTAAACCAAGGTTCCTATTTTCATCTTTAACAAAGTCTTTTTACAAGAATCATAATCCATTTATTTTTGAAAGAAGACAAGCCCAGTTGTGGCGACCAGACTTCTCTTGAGTGTCTGTATTAAACAAACAGGTATGTTTCTTAAGGGTAAAGACGTGATCTCAGTAGTTTTATCCTGGTGCCTAGCAAGTGGCCCAGAATGTAAATATTCACTGAATAGAAGATATGACTTGAAAATACTTTCTTAATTTTTTGTTATAGGAGTTCAAAGTTCTAGTTCTTCATCTGACATTTACAATATATAAGGTAGGTATCTAATTGAAAACCTACAGTGATCCCTCAAATGTCAACTCTAAGAGAAGGCAGAATATCAATGGCCTTTGTTTCATGGTCTTTCTAAGAAGTGCATTCTCTTACATCCAGAGAGACAGACAAAACAACTTAAATATAGAGGTAAAAAACAAAAACGGAGTTACATAAAATCATGAACTATTTACAGAAGGGAGCACCAAGAAAATAAAATTTTCTCTGGGCACAACTCCTTGTGAAAATGTATGGCAAAGTAATTGGCCAGCATGTAATCAAATACCCCACCCAAACACATTTAAAACTGTGCGTGTGTTTTTCTGTGATGGGTTCCTTCTATCTATATTAAACACCATGGTAGCTGCTGATCGGCTTTGGCTGTTGTGGGAAAAGGTAAACAGGGTCAAAACTCAAAGAAACCAAGGGCAATAAGCTACCAACACCTGCCATGATTGCTTCCAACACAAAGTATTTGATTTGTGCTTTCAAAGGTGCAATGATCACAGACCATTCCCGTTTTGTGTTTCTATTACTCACTGAGCAAATATTTAGTGAGAACTTATAATGTACTGGACACTACGCTAGATGCTGGGAATAGAGCAGTAAATAACATGAACATGATAGAGAACCGATCAAATTAAATGGTTGCTACAAAATAAACTATAGGATGTCTTGGGAATATTTAACAGAACTGTCATAGCCTGTGTTTGTGAGTATGTAAGTATGGTCAGGGAAAACATCTTTGAGCAAGTTCAAGGTGAGATCCGAAGACTAATTATAGGTGAGTTCTGCACTGCCCAATAAGGTAGCCACTGGCCACATGTGGCTACTGAGCACCGCGTATGTGGATATTGTGAATTAAAATGTGCTGTAACTGTTAAATACACTGCAAAAGCATAGTACAAAAAAATGTAAACTATTTCACTTCAAAATATTGAATACAGTTTAAATTAAAATATTTTGGATATAGAACAAATAAAATACAAATCGTCTGTTTCTTTTTACTTTATTAATGTAGGTAGTAGTAAATTATAAGTTACGTATGTGTTTGCATTTAGATTGGATGGTGCTGGGTTAGACCAAGGTAGGGGGGACAAGAAGTGGAGACTATTCCAGGGAGAAGGGACAGGATATGGGAAGGCTCTAAAAAAAGAGCATGGACATTTCAAGAATGGAAAGCCAGAGAAACTAACTACCAGAGTGAGCAGGAGAGTGGCTTAAGATGAAGCTGGAGAGGTAGATGAGTGATTTAAAACTAAACACCTACATTTCAATTCTAGAAAGTTGAAACTTCTTTGCTCCACTTCTGATCTCAACAGAAAACCATTTTAATACATGGATGCAAAAGTAATCTCAAGTCTTTCTAATGTGATCAACCTTCTTGCCCCAATTGCTGTAAGGATACTAAGTCTGTCAATAGTTATCAAGTTCACCATGTGTTACCATCATGTGTGATGGAGTATGTGGAGATTTAAATGAAATTTCTTTAGTGCAATTAATTGCCCATTTAGATGTTGGCAGTGATGGCCTCTTAAATAGGGGGTTAACATTCAAAATCCTTACTTCTTAGGCTTTTCTTTATAAATCTTGCCGAGCAAAAACTAGCTCCAATAGAATATCTGGTTCAAAGTTTACTTTCTTCCTTTTACCATTTTTGCCTTTGAGTCTGGGTCCGAGATGGGAAATATAGAGGAATGATCAATAATGCCTCTGGGTCCACAATTCATTTTATTTATTTATTTTTATTTATTTATTTATTTATTTTTTAGCTGAGCCATCCTGCTACCTGTTGGCAGCTCAGCGGCTGCTCAGCTCAGGCCGGGACTCAAACCTCTGTTGCTCAGAGCTCAAACTCTTGAGCAAGCTCTTAACCAACTGAGCCATTCGGCCGGCCCTCCACAATTCATTTTAAATGTGACTGTGCCATCTTTAGATTGAGTAGATATATTCTGAGAGATGGGTATGCCTCCAGAACATCATAAAAAGCTAATGTTTCAAACATACCAATGGACTAGATGCAGAAGACCCCCAAGTGCTCTGTTTTGTATTTCATTGTGAAGAATAAATAACACTGGTGACATCAGAATAGCCACAATCTCTGTAACCATCTCAATTACCTCCCACCCTCCTCCAATTACTTACAAAGATCCATAATGTGGTTCCTGCAGATGGCACAGTTATCAACCACAATGTCCCAGGCCCACAGGGCTACTGCATTCCACTGCAAAGAGAAAAAGGGGCACAGTGCACTCTCTTTGTCATACATATACGCATATACACACTCTAGGGTTTCGTGCTGCAGTGGCAGTTATCATCTCTTTGGCCACAAGGACCACCAAACAGGAGTTTTTGGATATTACTATCCTCTTATTTTTTTATATCAGATGGCAACAGTAAGCTACACGTATGCTCACCCATTTCCCAAACGGCTGAGTATATGAACACAGAAATTAATGTGTCATCTTTTAATTTTACTTTTTCCTACAGCTTAACACAATTTGGTCAGCCATATCAAGTAAGCAAATCAGAAATAATCTGTAAGTGCCTGTTTCATGTTTAATGAGCAGAGTCGAATTATTGTGCAAGTCCCCCTGGCAGTCGCAGAAGAGCTCAATTTCTGCATAAATGAATATCTGTTCTTCAAGGCAAGGGTGAGTGGAGAGGTGAACACTAGGAACAGAATGAACTAAGATTGAATCATAAAATGGGTAATCATGGGATAAGCTGGATAAAATAATTACCCAGTGTCACTACACAGAACAAGGCCATCACTTAAATCTTACAAGATTACTTCCTAACAAACTCTAGAATTCACTAGAATTTTGTTTGGCTCCTACCATCAAATAAACTGATGTTCTCAACTTTTCAGTGCAGACTCTTATATTTAGTTAATTCCAGTAAGAGTTTATCCAAAACTGGCATTTAAGAAATTCAACCTTCTGCAATTATATTCCCAAACTCTCTTTTCATCCACTAATTTGGTGCCACTTCCCAAACTGTCATCTCTTTCAATTCAATTCTCAGTGTCTTAGTAACTTCTTCAGCACTTTTTATCAGACAGCTTCAACTTGTAGGAAAAAAAAAATTCTACTTCTATTATTCAATATGGCTGCTGGTTGTAAATGAACACACAGTGCCCACAATGAAACACCAAAAATGAACTAGGAGGGGGAATATTGTCAGTGTTCAGCCAGATGTTCCAGGAATAATATCGTTCCTATTTCAGAATCTTCATTTTGAACAGATTGATTTTATCTTAGGTGGAAATCGGCACCTTTCTCCCCAACTGTTAAGAAACCACGATAAGGCATTTCATGCAAAAAGACACGTTCCACTTTTTTTTGCTTTCCCACTTTTAGCAGGTCGTTCGCAACTAGTACTCAACGCTCACTAAATGACACAAGATTAGGGCTCGCATTTTCTTTATAACAAATTCCAACTTTTTTTTTTTTGAGGGGAATTCTGGATATTACCACATGACTGGGGCGGTTTGTGTGACAAACCAACAAATCTCTCAAAAGAGCCAAGAGTTACACTCAAGACACTAACTCGGCGGGGCTCGGGACAGAGAGGTGATAATGATAATGGACGCCTCGATTAGGCGAGGACCGGGTCTGGGTTCCTCAGAGTCACAGGGACCCCGAGCTTCGTAAAGGGGCGGGGCAGGGAGATCACCAGCCTATCTCCTCAGAGGCCTCCAATGCGGTAGGACCTCAGGTTCCCGGCTTTTGCTGCACTGCCCCATCCTCCACCCACCGCAACGCTCCGACTCCCCCTTCTACCCACCCCACCCTCTCCTTCCCCACCCCTAAACCGCTCCAGTGACAACTAAGGCGCTTGGCTCCCGCAGCCGAGTCGCAACCCCGCGTATCTCAATAAGCACTTCCGTGATTGGCCCCTCAGCTCCTTAGCAAAACCAATACTGCTACTGACAGTGGGCCGCAGTCATGCTGATCAACCCTAAGACCCGCCCTCCGGCTTCCTTTCATGGTACCCAGTCCCAGGAACGCCCTGAAATGAAGCCCTTTCCTCCGCGCCTCGGTCATCCTCGGGCCTGCCAGCCAGATCCGCGCCTCTCTAGCTTCCCTGGGGAAGGCGCTGGCGAGACCCAACCTTTTTCACTTCAAAGCGCTTCTTGCCCGCGCCGCTGTTGGTGCCGGTCGGGGTATCCACATCCATCGCTGCCGCCATTTTGGAAACACACGGTCGGTCGTCCAGCCACTGCGCTTGCGCACCAGAGCACGCCTCGCTTCCCCCTCCCGACCCGGCCCCTCCTCCCGCACCCCTCTCCTTACTGGCGCGCGAGGAGCAGGTTGGGGGCGGAGCGCGAGGCCACGCCTCTTAAAGGCGCTGGCGCGGTTCACCCCCATTCTGCGTCGGCTGAGGAGGAGTCGGCGGCCGGAGCAGCTGGGGCGGGGCCGGGCGGGGCAGGGCAGACGTGAGCGAGCCGGGTGGAAACGTTCGAAAGGACTCGTTCTCGTTGCCCTCCCCTGGGAAGCCCCCGGCCACACTCCCTCCGCTGGGGCGGTGGCTGCTTCCTCCGCCTGGGCCGCGACCTGCCGCCCCGGCCCCGCCCCGCCCCGCTTTCCTGGCTGCGGAGCTGCTAGCATGCCGGCGGCATTTCCACCGCGTTCCGCCCTGGAAGGGGCTAGGGTGGATGCCCCCCTTCCTGCTGCCGAAACCCGAGTCCGCACACTGGGCCTTTGCAAATCCTCACCCACTAACGAGACAGGCTCGAGATACAGCCTCCCTGGGAGGCCCGAGGCCGGGGAGACATCGTTTGGTTTCCTGAGTTCAGGTCGGGAAATGCTCAGGATTCGACGGGGAGACAGGAGCTCCCCGAATGTCTTCCCCAGGGCCAAAGTGAGCAGGCATTCTCCAGCCCTGCCTTCAGCAGCCCACCTGAAATAGGTGGAAGAAGGAGGCTTGGGAGCCAGGGAGTTGCCATTTCCAGTCCGCCCGAAATACCAATCCGTCCCAGAATGGCCTTGGGTTAGGGTACACGATTTCAACTTCACGCACTTGAGCACACGTTTCCCCTTCCCAATTGGTCATGTAACTGTGGGGTCCTTTCTCCTTAATTTTGGTCCTTTCTCCCGCTCCTTGCGCTGTACTCGGATCTGTGGTCGCAGTACTTATTGAAATTTGTTGTATGAGGCATTCAGCCATTTATTCTTACTGGTCATTCCTTCCCAGCCGAAGCACCTGTATTTTATGTCACCTTCGCATTTCTAGACCAGACATCATCTGGTCTAGATAATCCTTTTGCGTCTCTAACTTAGCAGATATATAACTAAGCTAGATCATTCTTAAATCTTGCATTGGCTTATTTGAAATCTCATATTTTCTCCTAAAATTGGAGCACAATGGAGTTGACTCCATTGTTAAACCGGACTAAATGCGATTTTGTTTCCCTGCCTTAGTCATAAACAGAAACATCAAATCCGTGAAAACGTTACAGCTTTAACCAGACTTAGATAAAAATTGTTTGAGACCTTAAAGCATTATAGGTACCTACGAAGTTTTTCTTAGCTCAAGTTTTGTTAAATTAATAATTCCATGTTAAGATTTCTGTCATCAATTTATTTTGTTCCTACAGGCCCCCATAGGAATACTAGAAACCCATAGGTATTAAGGACACATTTATACTTCATTCAGCAAATTCATTGAGTATGTACCAGGTTCTATTATAAACAGGAGAGATACAATGATAAAGGAGTCAAACTCCTAGTAGGGAAATAATACACAAGTCAATGAATAAATACATCAGAAAATCTCTGGTATCCAGCGCTGTGAAGAAGACAAAACAAGGTTATGAGATTGATGGGAGTTGGAAACATTAAATCGGGCAATTAGGCCTGTATGGGAAGTGACATTTAAGCTAAAGTCCTTACTATGTCTTAAAAGGCCTTGCATGATCCACTACCCATTCATTTTACTATGCTTTTTTTTCCCCTTTGAAATACTGTTATTTCAATTAAAGTTTATCTGGGTAACAATTGTTAGTAAAGTTACATAGGTTTCAGGTATATATGTCTTTTTTAAAAAAAAAATGTTACATGTACCTTCTAACATAATTTTTCATTTATTGGGTTTATTTTTGTATGTGCTCACTAAGGGGATTTTGATTGTTTTGTTTATTGGTAACAAACGCCTGGAACAGTGCCGGATACATTGTAGGTGCTCAGTATGTGTTGAATGAGTAATTTTGAAGCTTTTTGAGCAAGAGGAGTGTGGTATGAGATGTCGGACAGGCAGGCAGGGGCCAGGTGAGGTAGGAATTTTATTGTAGATGTTATGGAAAGATATTGGAGGAGTGAATTACGGGAGGGGACTAACAGTGACAATCTTAAAGTTTTTAAAAGTTTTAAAGCTTTGTGAAAAGGGGATTGTAGGGATACAAGAGAGGAAGCAGCAACAATTTCCAAGTTGTCTGCTTCATATAGAGCTATGGTGGAAAGATGGATGATCTTAGAGATGGTTCCATTAAGCTCTGAAAACCTCATGTTCCATCTCTTTTGGAGATTTGCCTTGCTGTGGCAATTGGCGATAACATTCTGTATACTACATTCTGCAGTATAAGCCTAAGAAAACTTTTTGTAGGTTTCATACAGATTCTTACCCTTCTTCATAATTTCACTGAGTTTACAATGCAATAGGTTATGATTTTACTTTAGTTCTATTCCTTTCAGCCATCCATCCATTCAACAAGTGTTTCTAAAGTATCTGCAGAACCTGCTGTGTGTCAATTACACCATGCTGGTCTAGATAAAAAGGAATCTGATATTTTAAGTGTTTGCAAAAGGCCCCTTTCATCATTCAACTTATGGTACCAGAGAGGTGAGTCAATTAATGATAATTCCAGTGAGTTTTAGGAAAGGGAAGTACATGGCGCTTCGAAATAGAAAGCAAATCCAGGAGTTAGGAGGAAGTCCTCTTAGAGGAAATGATTTGAGATTGAAGGATGAGCCAGACAAAGAGCGGTTGATGCAGTGGTATGCTAGTAAATGTTTAAAAACGTGTTCTAAAAGAAAAAGAAAGAAAGAAAGACCCTTATTTGTAGCTTTAGCAGTCAGATTTTGAAATTCCTGAAAATTTAACAATTGCTCTTGTAAGCTGATGTAAGTTGGCCCAGCAGTCACACAAACAGAGATGTGGGAGAAGGTGGCATTCCAGGTAGAGCCAACAGCGTGCAGAAGGGGCTGGAAGCTGGAGAATGTATAGAGCACTAGTAAAGCTTGGAATGGCGGGAATATAAAGAGAAACAGAGTGAAATGAGTCTGCAATGATGTTCAAGAGTCAATTGTTAGCATCTCTTCCATATTCAGCAACATCATGTTGGTAGTTTAAAATTGGCCATAATATTAGTATTTATACCATGGAAATCAGCAAACACTAAAAATCAGGGTTCCTCCTACCACCAACAGTTGGTTGTTAAACATTTACCACTGGTAGCGGCCAGGTCATGCAAGACTGTTCAATAGAGCCATGCAAAACAGTTTTGTCTTTAATGATGGGAAGACATTGAAGGATTTTACCAAGTGAGTTGCATGGTCAGATATGCTCTTTTAAAAGTGCTAGACAGGGGCCGGCCGAGTGGCACGTTGGTTAAGAGCTGGCTTGGGACGCCAGAGGGCCCCGGTTCGGATCCTACGTGTGAGGGCCAGTGACACTGCCCTCTACAGCTAAGATGCTGAGTGGCAGCTCGACCTGGAGCTGGGCTGCTGTGTGTGAGTTGCCGGCGACGGCGTAGGCTGCAGCCACTGCTGCAGTGGGTTGCCATGGTCTACCGTGTGTAGCCAGCAGCCAGCGTGAGCGGCCAGCAGCTGCCATGAGCGGCCGTCCAGAGGCCGGCGACTGATCTGCCTCGCCCAGGAGGAGCGCGGTGATGGTGCCAACTTGGGCTAGTGAAGCAACGTCCTCCACAACTGGACTGAGGAACAAAAGGACAGCAACTTGTCTGTTCCCCTTCCCCCAATTCCCCAGCACTGTTCCCATCCCCGAATTTCCCAGTGGAGGTCTTAAAAAAAAAAAAGTGCTAGACAGGACTTCCACTTCTGGGAAGATGGAGTAGACATATTTTTACCTATTCTTCCCTCTAAGTACAACTGAAATCCCTGTACAGGATATATTTAAAATAAAATAAAATTCAACAATAAACAAACAAACAAACAATTAAATAAAAAAGGAGCCTTTGAGAGATGGAGAGAAGAAGACAGACCAGTTAGGAACCTCAGGACTTGGGGGATGATGTGGTAGTGACTTCCCTAGGTTTTCTTTTTATCTCAGACATCCCAGACTTGGATGTGAAGAAGCTGGAATTCCCAAAATGCTATAAGTACAAACAAAAAAGCCCTAACAAAAGGCTGCTTTTTCTAGCAAACAGAAAACTTTTAGACAATAACTGCTCTACTCTATCCAAACAACACAGAAAAAATGTGGCCCTACTCCCACCCAGTCCAGCAAAGCTGAGTGGGGAGCCTAGTCTATACAGCTCCCAAATCTGTAACCAGGTGTCCCGGCACCCATGCCAGGATGGTAGAGGCCAATTAGGGAGTTGGAATTTTTATTCTTTCTGGTTGATAAGCTCCCCTACTCCTGTGGTGTAAGAGGGGACCCAAGGGGGTCTAGGCTTTCACCCCCACCCAGCAATAACAAGACACCTCTTCCCCTTCCTGCTGGGGTGTTGTTGGAAGAAACCTAGTGGAGAGTCAGGACTTTTACCATCACCCATCAGTCATGAGGTCACCTCCGCTGCAGTGTCAGAAGAGACCATGTGGGAAGCTATAACTCCCACCCCTACCCAGGCGTAACAAGGAGCACTCCCACCCTTGAGTGTTAATGGGGAGTAAGTAGGGAACCTGGACTTCTACCTCCACCTTTCCCTGCTGGAGCAGTGCCAAAGGGGGAAAAAGTCAAAACAAGGTTTAAATAAGATCTGGAGTCTCGTAATATAAAGATGTCCAGTTCTCATTGAAAATCACTCAACTTACCAAGAACTGTGAGATCTCAAAATGAATGAAAAAGGACTATCAATAGATGTCAACACCAAGATGACAGAGATGTTAGAATTATCTGACAAAGACTTTAAAGCAGCAATGATAACTTTTCCCCCCCAATGAGCTATTATACATAAGCTTGAAACAAATGAGAAAACAGAGAACCTCAGCAACGAAATGGAAGATATAAAGAACACCCAAATGGAAATTTTAGAACAGAAGAATGCAATAACTGAAATAAA